AGAGATGAGGTTTTGCCATGTTGGCCAGGCTGGTCTCAAACTCCTGACCCCCGGTGATCTGCCCGCCTTGGCCTCCCAAAGTTCTAGGATTATAGGCGTGAGCCACTGCGCTCAGCCTATAAGCATATATTTTTAATAATAAAATACTTTAAAAGCTGTATTAAAGGGAAAGGACTTTTTTTATAAATAAAAACAAATTCTGATAATGAAAATAACAAGAAACATAAATAATTCTGTAAGACAGCACATGTGCTCTAACAATTCTAAATTTCAATTCTAAATTAAACAAAGATTTAATGTCAACTCAGAACAATATTTCCTGATGTTGCTTGTCTTTGTCCTGATTTACAGTTAATCAGATGAGTACCCCTAATAGTAGAAATCTCTTGCTCACAGGCCTGTCCTGAGTCTTTTCTTCTGCCTCTACATTCTCACTATTCTGTATGCTAATGGCACTCCCGAGTATCTATCTCTAGCCAGGTCTGTCTCCTGCACACCAGACCTATTTATTCAACTGCCTATTATTTCTCTCTTTGTGGTGATCCAATAGGTACTTTTGAAATGTTCAAGACTGAATTCATCATCATCTTCCTCAACCCTGTTGCCTTTTCTTCATCACCATCCCCCTAGTTTCCCAATCCAGAAGCCCTGGACTCTGCTTCTTTTCCTCTGCCCATACTGACTCTATCATCAGGCCCAATTATGCGTCTAAATTTCTCTTAACTTTGTTCAAGTCTTTCCATCTCATTACTTCGCTAATTCAGGCTTCTATCACTTCTTTTTTGCTTGTGTTTTTGTTTTGAGACAGGGTCTTGCTCACTCTGTTGCCCAGGCTGAGTGCACTGGTGCAATCATGGCCCACTGAAGCCCCTATCTTCCAGGCTCAAGCAATCTTCCCACCTCAGGCTCCCAAGTAGCTAGGACCAAAGGCATGTGCCACCATGCCCAGCAATTTTTTCCTTTTTTGTAGAGACGGGGTCTCGCATGTTGCCCAGGCTGGTCTCAAATTCCTGGGGTCAAGTGATCCTCCTGGCTTGACCTCCCAAAGTGCTGCAATTATCAGTATAAACAACCATGTCTGGCCTTCTATCACTTCTTATTGCAATAATTGTCCCCAGTTTTGCTCCCTTAATTTTCTAGATTTTTTAAAACCTTAAATGGTCTCCAGTGCTTGGTATAGAGTTCAAACTCTTAAATGTGGCTTATAAGATGCTACAAGGCTCTCACTCTTGCTTTCTTCTCCAGTTGTCATTTCCTGTAGCTCCCCTAACCCTTACTCAGTATTATAGCCATCCTAACCTTCACTGAGTTCCTAGAATGTGCTATGTTCTCTTCCCTCTGAGCCTCAGAAGACATGGTTCCTTCAACACGGAACACACAGCTCAGTCTTCAAGTCTGGACATAAATTTAATATTCTTCAGAAAGCCTTTCCCAAATCACCTAGGACTCTTTCCTGAAACCACAAGCACTGGATATCCCATCTATAGTTTTCACGGCACCTGCCGTTAACTAATATGTTTATCATACTTTATTGTTAGTGACTTTATCTCTATTCCCCACTAGACTAACTTTCAAGAGGTCATGAGAATAGGCCTCTTTCTAACTTGATCATCTTGTATCACCAATACCAAAAATAGTACACTCTCATAGAATCACTCATAAACATTTGCTAAATGAAGAAATATAAAACGATTAAAAAATGATGCAGAGTACTTTTTGAGATGTGATTTTTAGAGTTTATTAGTATAGTGTATATCATAGGATACACTTTTATTTTTAAAAATCTTTAAAAATAAAAAACCTGTGTGAGTGTCATCTTCAGTGGAAAAGTTAAAAGTTACCTTACTAGTTTAGTCAAGGGCATTAGAATCATAAATTAATTCTACGTATAATAGTGTAAGTTGAGACAACAGCTTTGTGATGTAGGCAAGACAGGTATTATTAGCTTAACCAACTCTCAAAGAAATTTTAAGATTTCCTGAAAAGAATTCTAAACCAGTGTTTTTTCAAATCATAGTAGTCTGTAACTTAATGTGTTAACCACCTCTCATTAAATAACATTATAAATGACACAAAAGACTAAGCACAAGATGGACATGAACTTTGAACTGTTTATCTACTATCAGAATTGCAGCCACCCACCCAAAGTGTCTCTGTTTTTGTTCACGTGACCCCTGACACAGAAGCATGAGGGTGGATGGAGGAGGGTAGTAGTTGTAATAGGGCAAAGCAGAGCTAACTGCCTCACGAAGTGCCTTCATGAAGGGGTCAATGCCATGGTCCTGACCTCAATAGGCTAGGGTTTCCCAACTCTTCTTAATTTCAATGCAAACAGACTTTACTGGAATACTAAGAACATTTAGGGAAATTAAAAAAAAAAAGGATTTAACTTCAATGAAGAAACCACTCAAGCAAAAGAGACTCTGGTATCAAGATTTTCTTTGTTTAGACATTTTAAAGAAAGGTCAACCTTGATTCATTTAAATCTCAAATGAGTGCCCTATCTAGTTTGGTTAGGCCCATTTAGATGTTGAAGAGTACACTTTTTTTGAGATGGAGTTTTGCTCTTGTTGCCCAGGCTGGAGCGACCTTGGCTCACTGCAACCTCCGCCTCCCAGGTTCAAGCGATTCTCCTGCCTCAGCTTCCCAAGTAGCTAGGATTACAGGTGCCTGCCACAACACCTGGCTAATTTTTTATATTTTCAGTAGAGACAGGGTTTCACCATGTTGGCCAGGCTGGTCTCGAACTCCTGACCTCAGGTGATCCACCTGCCTCGGCCTCCCAAAGTGCTGGGATTATAGGCGTGAGCCACCATGCCTGGCCAGAGTACACTTTTTATGTGCAAAACCTTAGGACTCTTACTATAAATAGCTAATGCTTAGTCTCAAAATTAAGTACTTATTTTAAACATACAATTTTATCTTTCATGAAGTCTGCTTTTGTGTAGGTTTTGAAAATACATGTTGAAATGCTATTTTGTTTTCCCTGATGTCCTCTGCTGTTCTTTTGTAGTTTTGTCTTGAATCGCCAGGCTTTTGGCATTAGGTTGCAGGGGAGGTGACAAATGATGATGTAGCAGGTGGACAGTGAGTAAGGGGGTATTACGGTACTTTTTGGTACATAAAAGTGTTGCTATATATAGGCTGTTCCCACCCAAAATCATTAAGTAAATTAAGTCATAAGATAACATGGTAATCAAAGTATAAGCACATACCTGATAGCTGTTACCTTTCCAGAACTTTTTCATTTCCTTACGTCTCCAGGCAACAATTGAGGCAGTAATGAGTGTGCAAGGTACTAAATAGAGGAGAGCAGGTTGCCCCTTTTTCATCAGCACCAGAACAACAAATGTAAGTATCATGCCAATAGCATAGGCTGCAAGAAGAATACCAAGCCATCAGTCATTTCTACATGTTACCAAAGGTGGGTTTGTTCTTCTCTCATTTAAGTATTGGTTTTCAAATATTTCTGAAGACATTTTTGCTCTATGACTTCTTGTAATTTCATCATTTTCCTAGATAGGATTAGGAGACATCTTCTACGGAACTTTTGAAAAATCTGGAAAGTGGTTTGCATTTCAATTATTACTAACCTAACCATGTATCATTGACAGAGATAATACTTCATGAGAGTTTCAATTATCTGTTGCTATTAAAGTTGTTAAATGGTTTCATTATTTTAGATAACTAAATCTGTACCAATAGGTACTATAGGTTGTTTTAAAAAATCTTCCTAACACTGATTACATACTTCCTAAGCCTTGTTACTAAGCACATACTTTTGAACTTTTCTTTTTTTTTTTCTGAAACAGAGTTTCGCTCTTGTTGCCCAGGCTGGAGTGCGATAGCACGATCTCAGCTCACCACAACCTCCACCTCTTGGGTTCAAGCGATTCTCCTGCCTCAACATCCCGAGTAGCTGGGATTATAGGCATGCACCACCACACCTGGCTAATTTTGTATTTTTTAGTAGAGACAGGATTTCTCCATGTTCGTCAAGCTGGTCTCGAACTTCCAGCCTCAGTTGATCCACCCGCTTCAGCCTCCCAAACTGCTGGGATTACAGATGTGAGCCACCATGCCCGGTCTGAACTTTCCTTAATGACTCAGGGTTTTACTAGGAACATAGGATCTCAGAATATTCCTTAATAAACAATTTAGTATAGTTCCTAATATTAAAGATGAGGCAATGGAGGAACAGGGAATTTAAGTGAGCTGTCCAAGGGTACACAGGAGAATTAATGAACACTCCTATAATCTGCCTTTGGATACTAATATGTTAAAGCCCTGGACAGTACCATACTTAGTGGCCTCAAACTGCTTTTTTTGAGATGGAGCCTCGCTCAGTTGCCCAGGCTGGAGTGCAGTGGTGCGATCTTGTCTCTTGAACCCACTTCCCGGGTTCAAGCAATTTTCTTGCCTCAGCCTCCCAAGTAGCTGGGAATACAGGCATGCGCCACCATGCCCAGCTAGTTTTTGTATTTTTAGTAGAGATGAGATTTCACCATGTTGGCCAGGCTGGTCTCAAACTCCTGACCTCAAGTGATCCACCTGCCTTGACCTCCCAAAGTGCTGGGATTACAGGCATGAGCCACTGCATCTGGCCAGCCACTGCACCTGGCTGAGACCACTTTTTGAATTTCTTTATGTTTTTTTCTTCATCTTCTCCCTCACTTAGCTATTTTCTTTTCTTTTTCTTTCTTTTTTTTTTTTTTTGAGACAGGGACTC